CATCTTCGCGTATCTTCCGCCCTGGTACTCGTATCCACGTCCTCTGTCTGGGCAGCGAAAACTTTGCTGATATGTGACTCGGTCGAAGTGACTTTTTTGCCCCCCCCCCCTATATATCTTTGCTGTTTTCTGACTGGAAGCTGTCACTCCATCTTTTTGACAATCCTTTTAACAAACGGGCCAGCAGAGCGAGCAGGTCAAGTGTGCGACGTGAAAGGACAAATATAGAATTGGTTACTATCTACTCCTTCCAGCTCACTCATTACCTATCGACAACTTGAAGTTTAGGCGAGACCACGCGTAGCCAAGAACTCTGAGGGCTAGACTGACCTCTGAGTATGTTTATCACATTCTTTCGACGATAACCGTCTGCGTTCTGCACCACGATGGGACAGGCGGACAGGTTATAGCAGCTGTGCGATTAACATTCGAATATTAGTTAAAACCTTGCTGGACAGCCATCTGCCGGAAATAGAGGATTCCTCATGCGCGGCGCATCTGCTGAGAGGGTGTGGGTTCCTCCAGTACGCGAGATCCGGTTACTGATGCACTGCTCCTTTGCCGGTCACTAGCGCGTTGTATACTTGACTTCTCGCAGAGTTGAGTCGCTTAGCTCAGAGGGGGGGTATTACTGCACAAATAGGGCTAAAAATAGGAATAAAAAGCGGAACCGAACAGGCGAAACGATATCTTGTCCCAACGCGGTCGAGCCCCGAGAGTCGAGCCACAGTATGCTCCGCTTCTTTGTGCAGAACAAGGTGACAGTTCGTCCGGACTGAAATATACCTCGAGCAACCTCGTTCTATGCAACGTTCAAAAACCACGCCCACTCCGTCTCATGGATAAGGAGTGTACCTGTCAGCAGTGCTCGCATGCCAACATTGCCGCTACTGCATGCTTTGTTCACACAGAACTTGATCGAGAGGACTACGATGAACGTCCAACCAATCACCATTCAAGACCTTATCGATGCATCCAACATAAGTCCCTATTCAAGCTCCATGGGAACTTGAAACCATTCCGTTGTGAGCAGCTGATTCACGAAAGCCATAAAAAGATCATCTTCTCTCTACGACCCACCTTGAATATCGCAAACAACCCAAGGGGTTTCTCTCCTGCGATACCTTTCTTCAAGTCTGAGATCAGCTGCGCAGTTTTGACTGGGCCTACGCCATGATAGAAAACGATTGACTTCTGTGCAGCAAGTTCTAGATCCTTTGTCAAAAGCCATCTTGAACGACTTTAATAATGAGAGACTACAAGAATTCAAAGCTAAGCAAAGATGAACACTAACGTGGGACTCTCTGGAACGAAGAAAAGGCCTATCGTTACGAATACTGTCAGCAAAAATTCCAGTCCATAGATGACCCACCATAAACTTTCTGTACCCAATATCTGAACATAAAAACCTTTAGTATAATCGTCGCTTAGGCACCTGAGTGCCACACATTGAGGGAAAGATGTAACAAAAGGTCAAACAGTTTCGTTCACGTCAGCTCCGATCGTTTTATGATCCGTCCACGTACTTGGAGTACATATTAGGCTGCGTCAGCACTTGTGGCAGCGTCCACCAGCGACCAGCGTCCACCAGTGACCACCAGCGATCCGAGCGTCCGGCAGCGTCAGCGATTGGGAAGCTATGGATATCACAGAAACCGTTTATACCACACTGCGAGCTGTAGAATGACAGAGCGCTACGTGCGTCTCCGCAATATTTTATTATACGGAGACAGCGCAGTATTCCTCATTTACAACTAACTATCGCTCTTGTGTGGCAGCGGACACTGCCGCTTATAAGGTGGAACCGTCGGTGAGTTGACTTTCGCGATGACGGGGGTTTCTCGAGGGGTTCCTGACACGATGTCGGAACCGCTAGAGTTGACGAGGCGCTTGGTGGGGTAGAGCGCAATCTATTGTAAA